TGTACAAAAGCACTCTACAGCTTTTCGAAAGCCGAGCTTTTAGAGGTGTTTAGCCCGACTTCAACTTTTGGAGCAGAAAAACACTTCTAAAAACCTGACCAAACACGGATGGTTTCACCCTTGCCTTTTACAAAAGTGGTTGTAATTAAAAATGACCTCCTAAAGGCTTTGGATGAGTTTTTTTTTCTTGGGTTCACCTCCAAAATCCGTTGGTCGTTCCTTGGTCTGTCTACTCCCGAAGAAACATGCAGCGGAGGAAGTTAAAGATTTTCGGACAATTAGCTTAGTTGGAAGTCTAAATAAAATCATCTCTAAAATTCTGGTTAGACAACTTAGCCCTTTCATAAACCGTTTTGACTCGCAGCCAGTTCGCAGGGATCAAGGGTAGACAGATACATGAAGCTTGTTTTCTTGCTAATGAAGTTCTTGACAGTAGGCGAAGAAGCTGGAAACCGGGAATTGTCTTGAAATTAGATATTGAACGCGCTTTTGATAGCATGAACTGGGGATGTCTTAAGAAGGTGCTCAAATTCTTTGGCCTTGATAGACGAATACAAAACTAGATTATGGGTATTGTGACGTCTGCAAAGCTTTCTATTTTTGTCAATGGGGAGGTTGTTGGCTTCTTTGGGATGGAGATGGGCCTCAAACAGGGTGACCCACTTTCGCCTTTTCTTTTCAATATCGTCATGGATATCCTATCTCACATCTTGTATAAATTTAGGGAGGCTGGAATGATATCGGGTTTGTGTATTGATGAGTGAAGTCAGGGAGGCGAGATGACTCATCTCCTCTACGCAGATGATGTGATTATTTATTGTGAAGCTAGCGAGGTAGAAAATGTAAATGTGACAGCTATTTTGGTGTGCTTTCAAAGAATTACAGGTTTAAGGATCAACTTGGAAAAAAGCATAATTTACCCGGTTGGTGAAGTTGAAGATATTGAGAAATTAGCTGAGATCATAGGCTGCGATTGGGGTTTCCTCCCAACTGTGTACCTGGGCATGTCTGTTGTGGTTTCACTGAAAAATCGATATGGGATCCGGTCATTTAGAGAATGTAGAGAAAGCAGGATGGCTGGAAAGGGCGCTACCTTTCCACGGGTGGTAGAAGTACCCTCAGTAACGTGTGTTAGCCAGTCAGCCGCTTTACTTAGCCTCTGTTTTCAGAGCCCTGAAGTCTGTCATTGAAGCAATTGAGAAGATACAAAGTAACTTTATCTGGTCTGGTACTACAGGTGATAACTGGATGCATCTTGTTGGATGGAGAACATGTAAAAGGCCAAAAAATCTGGATTAAATCCCAAAATACACACGTTATAAAAAAAATTCTCAAAATACACATGTTGGGCATCAGCGCTGTCGTCAACCGCAGTGAATGCATTCACCGCGACAGACCAAAGCGGTGACTGCATCACCGCGGTTGACGGCCGCGGTGAATGCCTAACGTAACACTGAAACTTCAAACAAACGTAACTTTGCACTCGGTTATCCGACTGTATCGATTTTCTTTTTATTCCACATAACTTTTGAAGATCTTTCAATCTGCAACAAGACTTAATCTAAAAAAAATGTCGTTTTTTACCCCGAACGAGCAATTTTTCGATTTTGCCAAACTTTGGTAGGCCTTAACTTTTAGCTCCTTAATCCGAACGTCGTAAATTTTTGTTTATTGCACATAACTTTTTAAGAAATACAACTTTTATTAGAAAAGAAATATTTTTGGGTATACGGGATTTTGGCAATAACTTTGCCTTTACTTTTCACAAATCCATATACTTTCCAAATTATGGTTACAATCAAAGTTGTAGTCCTTCAAAAGTTATGCAAAATCAAAAAACGTTTTATTACATTCGGATTGTAGAGCACAAAGTTATGGTCTTCCAAAGTTTGTCAAAATCGAAAAATTGCTCGTTCGGGGTAGCAAATGAATTTTTTTTGGGATGAAGGTTTTTCGAAGATTGAAAGATCTTGAAAAGTTATGTGGAATCAAAAAAAAATCACTACAATCGGATAACCGAACGCAAAGTTACGTTTGTTTAAAGTTTCAATGTTACGTAGGGGACTTGGGATCCCTGATTTTGAACAAAGAAATTGTGCTCTTCTTTGTAAGTGGTGGTTAAAATATGAAACAACAAGGAATATTGGTGGACGAAGCTAATGGCTCTCAAATACCCCAGTTCCAAGTCAGATTTGTGGCAGGTACTAACCTTGGTAGCATGGGTTGGAGCCCTTGGACTGAAATTGCAAAGCTTAAAAAAGAGTATTTTGGAACTTCTCCTTCATTGAGGTTGGGTGCGTTTGGAACTCCTTTTGGCATGATAAGTGGACCGAAGACGTTTTCCTTGTTGAGGCTTTCCCGAGAATTTTTACTGTTGTCGTTTCTCCCAATTGTCGTGTCTTAGAAAATCTGTAGATCGAACAAGAGAGTGTTTCCTGGGAAATTGAGCTAAAATTTTCACTTAGACGGGGGGCTGAGAGAGAGAGAGAGAGAGATAGAGGATGATGAATCTTCTAGAGTCCATATCTTTTTCTTCTATGTTTTCAGGTCCTATCAGACTGATCTGGAAGCCTCGTCCTTCCAAGGGGTTCTCGGTGAAATCAATGTACGAGGCTTGTATTGCTGACATTTACTCAGGAGTCCCTGCTTTTCCCTTGAAAATATGCTTCTTCACGTGGACGGCTTATCACATGAAGATACCGACGCAAGACAATTTAAAGAAGAAAGTCAGGGCGATGTCGAATAGGTGCTCCTTGTGTAGGAGTGTCGAGGAGGACATTGACTATCTCTTCCTTAGTCGTGACTTCGTAAAAGCTGCATGGAAGATTGTTGGAAAGTTTGTTAAAATCGATTGTGTCATCCATAGAAGCTTGGTGTGTGCTATCGTAGGCTGGAATCTACGACAACCTCAAAGTTCGGCTGATTGCTGTTCCCGAGTTTTGTTACACGCATTGTGCTGTGTGTGTGGTTAGAAAGGAATGCGAGGATATTTGAAGAAAAGCCGTCAACGCCAAATTTGGTGAGCTACATAATTGGATGTCGTATAGCTGGCCGTTTGACCCGTGCAAAGAAGGTGGATCGGATTGTTGTTGAAGCTTGGTTCAACTCTCTTAAGGAGGAATTGTTGGCGGGAAACACTTTCTCTGTTCGTGTGAGGTGATTGTATTTGCTTTGATTGTTGTCCTGCTTTGTTAAGGCAGGTCTGGTTTAGTTTTCCTTTGTCATTGTGGGTTCTTTGCGTCAAGGCTGGGTTTTCTTCGCAACGGCTCTTGTATGCTTCTTGGTTCTCTTCCGGACTTTTTAAACTCGTTTACTGTTTTCTCCCTTTTTTTAACTTGTTCCTTTCCTTTTAATAAAAGTGATGTCACCCATATATATATATATATATATATATATATATATATAAATATATATAAAAGCAGGGCCAGACATAGACATATCTCCGTTTTCCACAAAAGAATATAACACTTGACCTACGAGCCGTGGTGCAGCCAATCACAGGTCAACATCCCATCATCCCTCAAATTCTAAATAGTTGTTATCTTAGAACAAATGCTAAGGCTTCACACCCTTGTCTAATTACTAGAGTTCCATTATTTTTAGTTTAATTTCTATAAACCTATTGACTTAAATTTATTATTTCACTATCAGGGATACATAGCATACACTCATGAAGAGAAGCAAATACCATAACTAAAGCTTTTTTCCCAACTAATTAACAATAAAAAAAAATCACATTTGTGTGAATTTTACGGAAACATAACATGGATCCGTAAGAGACTGATATAAGATTTATAATCTACTTTCTCTTATTGGGACCAACTGACTTATAACATGATATCAGAGTCTGATTTGTCCAAATGATCGTGTGTTTGAATCTTCACCACCTCCAAAATAACAGTTGATTTAAGCAGAAAATATAATGGGCTTGTAAAAACTTCAATCAAGAGAAAATATCCTTCTTTCAACACTCAACTGACAAAGAATACCCCATCTATTTATTTGTTCCGATACCATAGTTCATTGAAAAGAAGTCACAATTTATGTGTTGCTATTAACTTGGGAATTTGCTCTATCACCCGAGCAGAATTGAGAGGCGTCGTTGAAGGACTTCAATTGGCTTGAGATAACGGCCGCCGACGAGTTCGTATGAAACTTGATTCTAGATGTCCGATTCAGCTACTTCAGAGCAGTGAGGCGTGAGATCATCATCAGGTCGTTATTATTGATAGTTTCCAGGATCTTCTTTCTCGAGACTGGGTAGTCTCTAACTCCCATATCTATAGAGAGGGGAATAAATGCGCGGACTATTTGGCTAGTAGGGTGCACACTCTTCTCTTGGGTTTTCATGATATGTCTGTTTCTGATTCTGGTTTATGACACTTTCTCTTGTACGATTGTTAAAGACTTTATGAGTCCTATTTGATTGTGAATGAAAGCTAAGATACGCTTCCATTTAAAAAAAATTATTTAAGCAAAGTAATTAATTTTGAATTAATTATATTATTTGATCCCTCATGACCAAGAATCAATCTGGGCATAAACAGAAAGCAACGATGGGGAAAGTTTTCAGGAGGGCATATATTATGTTCAACCATTTTCAGTTATGATCATCAATTAATCAGCCTATTGAATTGGCAATTGAATAATCTTGAAAGCCATATAACCGTCAATATACGCGCAACCAACAATGTTACGTTGCGGATTCCTTGGCTTAAACATCAATTAAGCCACCAAATTCTTCTTAATATGTTATATTCATACTCTAATTAATCTCATATCTTTCAAACAGCTCTCACTCCATTACATTAACGTCAATCATTTTGTCACTTCCTGTCTTATACAGCATAAAAATTAAAAACCCTATATTACTCATTTATAATATAAAAAAAAACCTATATTACTCTGTTGATTGAGACATTGAGTGCTACTTCCTTTGTTACACTAAAAAAGCCATTTCGAGTGCTGCTCAATGTGTAACATACGAAAACTTTGATGACCAAATAAATATTTACACTCGTCATTTCCCCTATTTAAGCAAAGTAAGTGAGCCTACCGCCTTTCCATATCTCCGTACACTTCCCTCTGCTCTTTCTCTCTATATCTCACCCGCTCTGTCTGCAAATCCGCATGGAAGCCCTAATTCCTCAAATAACAAGAAGGAAAAAACGCAAAATCCCTTTCTCCCACCCTTCCCTAGCAGCAGGCAGCAGCAGCAGAAACAATGGCGGCATCAATTCTGGAAGCAGTGAAGCAGATGCCATCAACATCGACTCTGCTCACAGCCTACGCTTCCTTCTCCACAACCTCAATGCTCTTCCGCAACGTCTACCGCGAGATCGTCCCTGAGCGCCTCGAATCCTACCTCGTCGACAAGTTCAATTCCTTCTTCTACTCCCCCAAGCCCTCGCCGGAGCGCGACACCTTCATAATCGACGACGACTGGGACGACCTCGACCGAAACGACCTCCTGTTCGCCGCCAGGGCCTACCTCTCCACCAAAATCGGGCCCAAGAACAAGCGGATCCGCGTCGGCAAATTCCCCCACCAGAAGAAGGTCTCCATCGCCCTCGCCGAGGGCGAAACCGTGCTCGACGAATTCGACGGGATCGAGATTATCTGGAAGCTGGCCCCCGACGAGGAGGAAGGGGAAGACGACAACAACAACTGCGACGGGATGAATTACTTCGAGATCCACTTCGAGAAGCGGCACAGGGAGAAGGTTCTGGAAGGCTATTTGGGCCACATCCTGGATCTCTACGACAAACTCTCCCACAAGGAGAAGTCTCTGAAGCTCTACACGAGGCCCAATACCTCCTGGCGGCCCATGGACCTGAGGCACCCCACCACTTTCGACACGGTGGCCATGGATCTGGAGATGAAGCAGAGGATCATGGACGATCTCGACCGGTTCGTCGCGAGGAAGGAGTTCTACAAGAGGGTCGGCAAGGCGTGGAAGAGAGGCTATCTGCTCTACGGCCCGCCTGGCACGGGCAAGTCCAGCTTGGTCGCCGCCATGGCCAATTACTTGAATTTCGACATCTATGTTTTGGAGCTCTGTGAAATCTCTAGCGATTACGATCTCAGGATGGCCCTGATGGGCATCGATAACAAGTCGATTACCGTTGTCGAAGACATCGATTGTAATTCCGAAGTCCGTAGCCGCTCCAAGGACAAGGACAACTCCAGCGACGATGATGACGACGACCGTCGCAGTCCAAGGGTAAGGAGGATTGATTTTGAATTCAGTAGATTAGCTATCCCCCCGCGAAAAAAAAACAGAGTTGATTTTGAGTGTTGGTGTTGGTGTGTGTGTGTTTATTAATTTGTGCAGTTCACGTTGTCGACGCTGCTGAACTGCATCGACGGGCTGTGGTCGAGCCGGGCGGAGGAGAGGATAGTGGTGTTCACGACGAACCACAAGGAGGTTCTGGATCCGGCGTTGCTGCGGCCGGGGAGGATGGACATGCAGATCCACCTGTCGTTCTGCAAGCCCCAGGCGTTCAGGACGCTGGCGAGCAATTACCTTGGCGTGAAGGGCGAGCATCCCTTGTATCCGGAGATCGACGAGCTGCTGGAGGGTCTGGAGGTCACGCCGGCGGCAGTGGCAGAGGAGTTGATGCGGGATGAAGATGGTGACGTTGTTCTGAAGCAGGTGGTTGAGTTTCTGAGGGCCAAGAAGGCGGAGAAAGAGACGAGAAAAGAGGATAATAAAAGTGATGGTGGCGATGGTGATGGTAGTGCTAGTAGTGATGTCTCTAATTGATTGATTTATACAGGCCGCCATAGTAGCTTACAGCTTTGTTTGCCAATTCAATCGTTATTTTGTTTTTATTTCTTCAGAGGATCTAGATGCTTTAGTAATGTCACGTGTTGGGACTTGGGAATAAAAACTTTGAGCCAATAGAAGGTTCTCGTTCTCGTGTTGTAGCTTCAACCTCTGCTTCCATCGGGTTTTCTCAGGCAGTAGATCTTGCTTCCATCTAGTGTTTCCTTTCACTGCCGACCAGAAGATACAGCTCTGGCAGATGTAGTGATGGGCAATTCGTGTATTAGGTGGATTTAGACTAACTCCAACCCAAGGATGCAAATTTGGAGAAATGTATGTTTTCCCACTTTTTCCTCTTCAACCCACATAAAAATTGGCTTGCAAATTTGGAGAAGTGGGCTTGGGAGTGGATAGATGGCAGCTGAAATGGAGAAATGCAAGGAGGAGGTGGGGATCATGGGGCAGCCAAAGCCCACATATAGGGGCACGTGGGGCCCTCCACTTTTCCATTCCCGTCTCTTTTTTTGTTTTTTGTTTTTACTTTCTTAATTTTTTATTGGTTGGTTATGCATTGGGAAGGCAAATTTAGAAGGTTTAGGGTTGGAGCAAAAAAGTGTTTTTGGGAGGTAAAAATGCACATTTGAGAGTTTGAGAGGCTAAAAATGCACATTTGGGTTGGAGTTAGTCTTAGAGCAAAATTCACCCATCCATTCTAATTAGGGCTGGAAGTTTGGTACCGATATTTGGGATATACCGAATACCGTACCGAATTTGTTTATATTTGGTATTACCGAATACACGTATTATTTCGTGGGATTGGGATTGGGTTTCAATTGTTATTCGGTATTAGGGATTACGGGATTGGGATCGGTATATACCAAAATACTGATCAATACCGAAATATAAGCTAGTGTGCATTTTATCATCTCAACTAGACTTCACTCATTTTACTACACGGCCTTCAACCACCAAGAGTGTCATTTAATTATACATAAATCATTACTTAACTATTTCACACTAGTATTAGTTGTCTCTCAATCTCAAATTCATCAAATTAAAGATTACCAATTACAAAAACTTGAAATGTTAGCTCTAGGCAACTCAAGACTCTTTGCTTAGTCTCTTTGCCCTAAATTAAACAATAAAATCTAATTTATATATTTAATTATTAATTGCAAAGGTAATTAATTTTGTATTTGATAATACCGATTGAGATACCGAGGTACAGATTGGAATACCGAAATATTTAGGGATTGAGATTGAATTACTCTTTTGAAGTTGAGAATGTATCGAAGTACCGGGTATGAATCTTTTAATCTCAAATATATCATATTGTTGGTGATTGAACTTTTTTTTAATACCTTTTATAATTAATTTCATAAAATGAATACCCAACCCATCATATCCTCCAGTAAGTGACTTCCACCCATTACTAGGATGTCACTGATTATTGTTCCGGTTTAGACCGATTCTTCTGCTGTGGACTCTTTTGGGCTCTTCTTACAACTTCCAAAAGACTTCTTCATCACTAGACCTCTCTTTTTGCGTGAAAACTCCATAAACTTCTTTTTATAGCTCATTTGCTTCTCTAGACTACTCCTATGCTTGATCCAAATACTCCTAATTTGTATTTACCTTGTAAAACATCAAAACATACCAAAGAGGTATCGAAAGGTATAAAATCATATCCTAGGTCTATTGCATTGATAAAATATTTATGTTTTAGATATAAATTGTACTAAGAATGCATCTATAGGAGGGAAAAATGTATCGAATATTAACATGATAAAACTTATAATTTGAGTGTCATCATAAATATCCCACACTTTAACTTTGCTTGTCCCCAAGTAAAGAGTACCACAATCAGAAGATTTTAAAATATAATTTCTAACTCGAAAATCATAAGAACTTGAAAATCATAAGAAATTCGTAAATGAACATATTTAGGCAAAATGGTGCAATTTATCCTAAGTGAACCTTTTTATCTTGTTACGCAAGAGTGCATAAAAGTAGAGTAAAAGCGTAAAGCGTTTTGGTGAACTAGAAACGTAAAAGCATAAGCTTTTATGCTTTAAAGCGCAATTTAGTTCGATTTTATACACTAAAGATTTTATATGAAACGAAAGTATTTTGGTGACCTAGAAGTCTAAAACCATAATCTTTTAAGTTTAATTTTAAAGCGTGATTTCGAATGTATTGTGTAGGAGTGTTGTATCCTAGGCATCTCTTCTCGGTCTCAACCTATAACAACAATTCAATATGTAGGTGCCCAGTCTACACAAACCATTAACCATAAAAAATCCACACACAATATGAATGAGAAAGACAAATAATCCCACTTAAATTATAGGAATCTGATAGCTACATCCTATGGTTTTCCCATAGAAAAGTAGGGTTAAGTTTTTTTTTTTTTTGTCATAGAAATCCTCGCGGATTAACCAGATAAGCGTGTGGGGTCACAGCAATTACAACCCCTACACGGACTCAAAGACAGACCATATAGGAATAATCAAATAATACATTACATATACCAGGATAGCGAAGGGCATTACGTGCCACAATATGGGCAGCCCGGTTCGCTTCTCGAGGTGTGAAGGCCAAAGTAACCAAAGGTAGACTGTGGAGAAGAGATAACACTTCACGATATATTGCGCCGCACCGAACATCATGAGGATTATTAGTCTGTAATCGCTCCAATACCGCTTGTGCATCCCCAGTAATCGGAACAGGTTAATCATACCATCCCCAACGGGAAAGGAGTAGTAAAGCATACCGGACCGCCAATAATTCCACAGTTGAAGCATCAATTATCCCTGGTAGAGCACACCCAAATCCAAACGTAGCCTGACATATTAATCATGGAAAACAAACAACGAATAATTCTAGAACCAACATATTAAAATTCAGGAAACAAAAGAAATAATTATAAATAGAGTAAATCATTTCTCAAACTCTGATTCCTTGACGATCTCCTGAAACTATCCCACAAGAATGCCCCTCTATTTCGCGCGGCCTCTAGTCCCAGGCGGACAAGGAAGCTAGGCCCGACCCAATTATTATACTGTTGCGGATGTGTCTGCTCAATTGGGCTAAGAAATCTTACCGAGTATATGTATAACACTAATCACTGCTCCCAAACTTCAGCTGTATCTAGTCTTTTGCATCTCTCCCTCCATACATGACTCAGTAAGGATTGTCAAACAAGTCTACCAGCTGCTCCTTCTTCTGACTTTCTTCCCCACTCCTTCACATCCCACATCAGCCCATCTTCCTAGCAAAACCTCGGAAACGAGGAGAAAATTTGTCAAATAACTCATGAAACATAATGATGCGGGAGAGCCTTCACGGGCCGAGCTGGCTAAACCACGACGATCGGGCAGCAGCCCCAAGCCCAACCGTGGTTCGTCGCATAAGAGTTATTGTGTTATTTTGTTGCTATAGGGAAGTTGGTTTCCCATTCCTTTTCATTGCTGAATTGTTTCTTTTCTTGCAAAACACCATCCCCGAAGCTACAAAACACCAACCAGTCTACATCCCATCTCCCCTGCCGACCGTCACATTCACATAAAAGAAGGCATCAAAGTCACCTGGTGTGTAAGATGAGAAAAATTCTCTCTTGGACGTCACGTGGATGGTTGCACCACTATCAACCATTCATCTTGTCTCCTAGGTTGTCAGGTTGACAACATCTTCCTCGTAGACAATATTGAACTCATCAACAGAGTTTGCACCATCATCATCACTATTCTCATCTCGTCTGCCCTTTCTTCTCTCATTTCTGAACTTTGGACAAAATCTTCTGATGTGGCCCTTCTCCTTGCAGTGATGACAATGGATGTTGGAAAACTTGTTGGACTTCCCTCGACTCTTGGCTCTTTGCTTCGAGCCTCTCACTTCACTTCTTTCTCTGTTTCTGGAATCCACCGCCAAATGGTCTAACTGGGAAGATGACGAGGATGCACCTTGTGATCTTTTCCGGATCTCTTCATTCAGGACTCCGCTTTTGACAACCTCCATGCTGATAACTCCATCTTTCGCAGAGTTGGTAAGTGAAATCTTCAATGTCTCCCATGATTCTGGAAGGGAAGCCAGAACCAGGAGAGCGACCACCTCATCTTCCATCTTTATTCCCATACCGGACAACTGATCCACGATCCCTTCAATTTCGTTCAAGTGATCCGCCAAGGATGTGCCTTCCTTGTATTTCATATGGACCAACTTGGTCAGATAAAATAATTTGTTGTTGCCGGTCTTTGATGCATAAAGTGCCTCCAGCTTGTTCTATAGAGTTCAGGCATGAGTTTCTCCGCTAATGTGGTTATACACATTGTCGCCGACGAATTGCCGAATGTAGCCACATACTTGCTCATGCTTGAACTCCCATTCCTCTTCAGTTTTGCCATCAGGTTTAGTTGGGCTAAACACCGGCAAATGCAACTCCGCCACGAGTAGGAGATCCTTCATCTTGTTTCTCCATATGTGCTAGTTGGAGCCATTCAAACTTATCATCTTGCTTGTTTTTGCCTCCTTTTGAACGTGGCTCTGATACCACTTGTTGGGCGCAGCTGGTGAGAATAGCGGGTAAATATATTGCACTAATAAATCACACGCTTGTAAAAAGTTCACAGGTAAGTTGGACCTGGTGGTAGAGCCTCCAAAATTACGGTAACCAACTTACTTAGATCAATTTACTTCGGTAATTTAATAATGCAATATACTACGACTATTCTCAAAATAACAACAAGCATAGACGGTAAGTAAATAACACCGAGGATTTACGTGGCATACCCTGATTTTGGGCCAGTCCACGGGAACAGCAGCTCCGGAGTATTTCTTCACTATAACAATGGTAGGTTACAGAGATTTTCTCGAAACAAGAAATAGAACACACGATGTTTCCCAAACAACCTCACTATTTCACACATAAGAAAATCTCTTATCTACCCGTGATTGTGAAAACGTTTCACAGGCGAAACCACAAGAAAGAAATAAAACTGAGAGCTAGCAAAGAAGAATGATGAAGATGGAAAAATGGGATGCTTTCCAAAGAGAACCCTTTTATAGCAAAAGAAGAGGGAGCCAAATTTATGAATTTGGTTGGGAGTTCACCTGCTTCATCTGCTCACCACTCCCTTTTTTTTCTTTTCTTTTTTCTGAATTACCACCGCCAATCCTCTACCACATGAGGCGGTCCCAACACTTCGTCGAGGCATTCTCCCCCGGCGCCGCCGACCCTGAACATGAAGTCGAAACTGAAACTCCCACAAAGTATAGTTCTTAGCATTGAAGCGGACAACAATCACATCATTCTTCGAGCCCTCCATGATATCACGCAGCACCAAAACACCCCGAACACGAGACAACACACGAATACAAAAAGCCACAAAAAACCTTGGCGCGAGCACACTGAATCCCGCCAGACAAATCCCACGAACACAGCAAGCACGAGAAGCACAATCAAATCACGAGTGAGAGACAAGAGGCTCTGATACCATGTCAATCGATACTAGAAAACGAGAAACACAAGACACGAGATTACGTGGTTTCCCCAACGATATGATCGTTGAGACTAGTACACGGCACAACGGTAGAGTTTGATTCTTATTGTCGTAGAAGTTAACTGTACAAGGCTGCCAATCAACATATATATACGGCCAATGCTACTAGCCCTAAACACGGATAATTACAATATGATACCCATACTACTAACATCGACCACCCTTTTGATTGAATGCCCAATTGCAAATTCCTTCATCTTTTACTTGTAGTCTTTCTTGGCCCTTTTCTCTTTGCATATCGCTTTATGAGAAGGAAATTGATTTGAACAGTGAAAGGATAAAATTCATGGCTTGGTACTTGATAGACAGATAGATGGATAGGAAAGGAGAGGAGAGGAGAGGAGAGGAAGTGAAATGAAAGAACAGCCCAAAACTTGATAGACATGACAATTCTTGTTTGTTCCACTTTGAATCATTTCCCTAGTGCCCTTCATCATCGTTTCTGTGTCTTTGTTAAATGCTCACTGTAATGATTCCTAGTTAGTCATCATTTATTAATTTAGGGATTACTTTGTTATTTGCACTCCTACATGTTGCACGAGAATAGGAGTTAGGGTTTGTTTTTATTTATATAAGTCGGCTCCTCTTGTCGCAGAACAAAAGAGGTAATACAATCATTTAAGTTTTTCTTCGAGAGCTCCAACTCTCTGTGGATTTGTCCCGTTCACATTGAGCGGGGACATGCATCATGTAAATCTCTATTCTTTTCTTCCATTCATTATCGAATTCTACACTAACTTGATGGATGGATGGTCTTCAGTTCCAATGCACTAATTGCCTCACCGTTCATTTCTCTACTTGTTTGCTGCCTGGTTGATTGGAGATCGTCGGTTCACTGCTTTCCCGACCCATGTCGCAGTACTGCTACTAGTCTCCTTTCCCCTAGTCTCTCTTCTGTTGGCAACTCCACGCAGTTGAATCTTTTGAGGTGCAACTTTGATTTTCTTCACCAACGATGCTTTCCTGTGTCAACAACAAGTCAATCCCATGGTCATTGCACTTGCACATAAGTCGAAAGCTGGATAGCATATCAAAATTTAATTCAGTGGTTCTTTTAATAGCTTGAGTTGTTGTTGGGAAGCAAGAAAAAAAAGAATGATCGATCGACCTGATGGCGTCTTGGACCAGTGGATTCCTCAAGCACCCAGCGAGGATGCTGTCTACATCTTTCAAGTCCACTTCTCGAAGCAAGAACACCTCCACTTGGGTTAAGCACTTTACTGTTCTCCGGCTGATTAATCTCTGCCCCATTTCCGTCCCTTGTGGAAAAATTTATACATCAGAAATTAATGTTGGGTGGTTTTGCTTGATAAGAACGACTCAGAGCAGGCTGTACTACTTGAATACCTTTGCTCAATGAAGAAGCATGCTGACGACACCATGTTAGCAGTTCATCTCCACAGACTTGGCCTTGCGACAAAGTGATTACAGTTCCATCCTCACCTGTGCTCTTCAACTTTCCCCGCACGATGAGCACCATCTTATCCACCACTCCGCCGGTGCAGAAGATTTCACTGCCCTTCTTGTATGTTCTTTGCTTCAGTTTCTCGTAGATGGCGTCCAGTTCATTGTCATGGATCTCCATATTAAATATGCCCACCTGCATGCACGCAGTTCAAATGTACGTTTGCTATCATATATGTTGCAACGAAACGATTGAGCAAAATGGATCGGAGGTCAGGTGGTATTCAAAATATTCTTCTTCTTCTTCACTCACGACTTACTTCCTTGAGAAACCTGAATAAATGCCTTCTAACTTCTCTTCGGAGATCTTCAGGTAAATTCTCCAACAGCGCTTCTTCATTCACTCCTCTGGTAGCAGCCCAATTATGACGTTCAGCTTCCTTCACTGTCCTGTATCCGACCAAAATTTTTAGTAAGACTAACCTAATAATAATAATAATAATAATAATTTATTATTATTATTATTATTATTATTATTATTATTATTATTATTATTATTATTATTATTATTATTATTATTATCCTCATCATTATCCAAAAAGTTATTAGTGGACACTATTCATTAGTGTCAAATCAATGAAACTTTTTTATTGATTATTTTTTCATGAAATTTTATTAATTAATCAATATTTAAGCAGTTTTTTTAAGTGGCATTCAATCTAATGCATACTAGTTTTGTCCAATGGGCGGTGAGTGTCATTCGTTTGTACTTTTCTTTCTATTATCTGTCATTTTTTCTTCTATCATTTAACTTGATTAGACCGGTACAACTCGAATTGTGCACCAGGTTGAAGAGTTTTGAGTCAGAAACAAGTTTTACCTGCTTTGGTAATTGACGGGTTAGGTCGGGTGTGGATTTTGTTAAAAACTCGGTTCACTTTTCACTGTTCAACACAAAAAAACAAAACAATCGACTTGGTTAAAGAACGAGTTGAATCTGGTGTTGACAAGTTTTGATTCGGGAGCGAGTTTTATCCTCTTTTGATATTAATTATTTTTTTTTTTTGTAAATTTTTATTAATTAGTCAATTTAAGTGTCTAATTTCTTAAAGTAGCAATCAGCCTAATGGATATTCAACCTAATTTGAACCGGCCAACGCGAGTTGAACTCGGTATTGACGAGTTTTGTGTTGGCAGTGGTGTCACATCACTAATGAATTTTTTTTAATTAATTCCTTATACAAAGAACTAACTATATATATGTATGGTGCTTGTTCGGTAGGGCTGGGCATGCGGGCGGATCATCCGCGGGTTTGGGCCGACCCACCCGCATTTGACCCGAATTTCGTTAAGTGGGTGGGTCTGTGGGTGGGTGACGGGTTCTGCTGGGAGCCATCCGCCGGGTGGTGGGTGGGTTGTGGGTGAGTGTGCGGGTGACCCGCTCAACCCAACAGCAAATCAAAGTCGTTGGCGCTAGAGAGAGGAGAGTGGAGACGTCAGATATAAACTCGGACTGCTCCTGGAGTTTGAACCTCAAAGCCAACCTTCCAAATAGAAATTCCCTCTTCTTCCCTTTACTTTTTCCTCTAATTCTTGTGTCTAGATCACCGCTTTTTCCTTTGTGGAATTATTTTCCTTAGTTCCTTGCACCTAATAATCATCTCAATATGTAGAAAACTCTTTCATAATAGAATTTCTATCCAATTTAAGAACTAATTCAACATTTTTCGCCCTATTTCAACTTCTTGTTTCCCTCGATGATTCTCTTCGCATATTATCATGTCAAGTTGATTCCTTTATATTATATACATTGTGATGTGGGTGAACCCACAAACCCACCCGCATCATCCACCATCCGCCCGACCCAACCCGAGACTAAATGTGGGTGGGTGGTGGGTTAAAAATTATCAATCCGTTTAAGCGCGGGTGGGTGCATTTTATGGTCAAAATCCACCCGACCCACCCAATGCCCACCCCTAATGTTCGGCGTACTGACAAAAATGAGTACATTTAATGCACTCAACTCTTTATCGTATCATAACTGACAATTTACGTCAGTTTAACATGAATCGTCTTCTATGCTTGAGTGCATTGAATACACTCAAAATAAATTAGTAAACCGAAGATGAAACCATATATAATATATCTAAGAGGAGTTGCGAGGGTACTATTCCGTAGTGTCATATCGCTAAAGAATATTTTATTAATTAATAAAAACTAAGTGGCATTTAACTTTCATTTATGATAGTTTAACCCAAACTAATGGATATTTAATTTAATTCAGCCTATACAAAGCAAGTTGAACTCGGTGTTGATGAGTTCTTGGTCGTGAGCGAGTTTTATCCGTTTATTGCTATTATTATTATTAGATCCATATAATGCGAGTTGAACTCGGTGTTGACGAGTTCTCGACTGAAGTGAGTTTGACCTGTTTATTATTATATAATCAAAATTTTAAGTGTTATTTAAAATTTTATTCCATTTCCTTTTATAACAGGTGAGCTCAAACCAATGGGTTGGGTGTGGATTTTGCTGAAAACGCGACCCACTTTATCAAAATTTAAGTGTCATTTAAACTTTCAGTGGGTTTTCTTTTATGACACAATTGAAACAAAATATATGGGTATTCAAATTAATTGGGTCTAGTTAGAGCAAGTTGAACTTGTTGTTGACGAGTTTTGGGTCGGGAGCGAGTTTTACCCAGTTTTGTAGTGAAATGCTTTTTCCCTGTTGATTTTATAAGAAACTCAGCAATTTTCCATCCAAGCAGCACATAAAGAACAAATCAATCTATCGGTCAAATCGGGTTGAACACGTTATTAATGGGTTTTGAGTCGGTACAAAGTTTTACCTACTTTCTTGATTCACGGGTTGGGTGTTGATTTGGTTAAAATTCGGCTCGCTTTCCATTCGACCAGTACCCAAAAAGCAAAACAATGTCATTTGGTGGACGGGTGTCCAACCTAATTTGACATGGTGAGAGTGAGTTGAACTTGGTGTTGACGAGTTTTGGTCAGGAGCGAGTTTTACCTGCTATTCTAGATGACGGGTTCGGTTGGATTTTTATTCTTTTAACTCGACCTGCTTTCCATCTGACCCACACCCAAATAAATAAAACAACGGGTTGAATATGGTGTTAACATATTTTGGGTTAGAAGCGAGTTTTACCAACTTTTGTAATTGGCGGGTTGGTTCAGGTGTGGATTTTGCATTAGATAAACAAAACAATTTTGAATTCCCTGTGTAACATACTCTCTATACATTTTGAAAACACATTTGTATTATAATAGATGGTATTTAAAACTATTATGTGATAAATTGATAATGTCAATATTCATAATCTTAACTAACTATTTAAATCTCATATAACTATAATTAAATTCACGGCAGGTCGCATCACGAATTTTTCGGTGCTAATTTCTAATAATTATGCAGGATAACAACAAAGCTGGTTCGTTCGCTGATTTAATCTACGAAGAGGATTGAAGACATCTCTTGCATCTAAATAAGGACTTATACGAAAACTTGATCAATGAGATTTCTTCATTGACTCTCTCATAGATTCATGTTAACTATTGAGACATTAATTCACTATCAACCTGAAAGATATATAAATTTGTATCCAAGCTGGACGCTTTAGAAAGTGGAACACATATATGAATGTGGTACCTCCTTAGTTCTGGTGGCAAACGCCGATGATTCATCCACTGTTCCACATCACGTCGCCTTAGAAACATTTCTAATCTCCTAAAATATGAAATGGACACAAAGTATTCGATTACTTAGCGAAAGTAGAATGATCAATCATAGACTAATTAAGTATAGGCCGTGATAGGCAAAATTAAGAAAGAGGGAAAACAATAATGTACCTCTGCCCAAGAGCCTGAAGAAAGTTCTGCATGTTGCCAATGAGAAATGCAAAGAGCAACAAGCCAAGTCCAACAATTAGCATTGTGAAAAGTACTTCCCAAACAAAATAGCTTGGTTCCTGGTTTCCAGCAAGAGTGCTGATTTGCTTCACCAAGAGTAAGAAATAAACATGCATACATGTTAGAAGCACAGCAAGAAACGATAACAAAAAAACCAATACAAAAAGCTTATAGTTAAGTGGAATTTTATAATGATTTAAAGTATTTGTGCTTTATTTTTTGTCTTTATTATTTTTCTTTTGACGGGAATTTGCATTTCATTAGAAAGTTACAATGGGCCCAGCGAAGCTCGATGCAAAACGGCCTCAAGCAGAAAGAGCAAAGAAATCGGTGGGCTATCCACCCAGACCACCTGGCGATCCCACACTCCAACAGAGTGGGCAAGCCAATGAGCGACACCATTGTTCTTCCGATGTGAGAAGTTCCACATCACCTGAATCCCAGAAAAGCTCGAGTTAATTTCTCTCATTCTCCAGATCTCCTCACACCCAACTTCTCAGCTCAGTCTGATCTCCCTACCTCTTATCATCAGCTTTCGAATTAGCATCTGGCAATCCGATTCCACAATAAGAGGGCTCATCTCTCTTCTATTAGCCTCTCGAAGTCCCATCAAGCACACCCTTGCCTCCGCTTCGATAGGTCTGCACACTCCCTTCTCCTTCATAGTAATGGCCCCTCTTAATTCTCCCCTCCAATCCCGGAGGATGCATCCAAGAAAAGTTACAGCTTGCTGCAAAATTCCCGCATCAGAGTTTAATTTGAAGACTCCCTCAGGTGGCGACATCTATATGTCTGTAGACGAATCTATTGCATGTTGTGGAGAGAGAATCCAATGAGCTATGAGCATCCAGGAAGTAGCCTAACCAAGCCAACGCTCGGGGGATGATCTTGTCCTCAGCAAGTTTACGATTGTTGTTCAGATGATTGCAACGTTCTTTCCATAGGTACCATATCACTACACTAAATTGTTGGAGTTTCCCTTCATCAAACTTCCTTAAACCATTCCATACAAGATTTTCCCTAACCAATCTCATAAAAATCTTTTTCTTCCCATCCCTGCCATGTGTCTTAACATTATGGTACAACTTTCGGGTTGTACCTATACTCTTTAGTAAAATTCCTTTATGGTTCAAACTATAAGTGTACCTTTCATAAAGGTCAAATTCTCTTATATTATAACTTCAATTTATAGTTTTATTGTTATGGTACAATTTCAAATTATACTTTTAAACATAGTAGAAGTACTCGTTAGTTATCGGTACGTAAATCAATAGTTATTAGAACAAGTATTAAAAATAAAAAAATTTGAAAAGCTGTCATTCATAATAATATGCATGCAAGCTTAAGAAGAAGACAATACAAATACATAAATGGTGAATAACAAATGCATGGGTACGTAAAAAAGGATAGATGATACCACTCAAGTAGATAACAAACTATATGATTACCTGAAAACCCCAGAACAATGAATATATGTATCTGGTGATGAAACTATCTTCTGTGGTGAGGTTGACTGCCTGAGCAAAAATCCCATAAGAAAAACCACCACCACCACCACCAATTGTCGTAAAACATGCAGTCGCATTCACATCACTTATCCAATTCTTCCATTCCGGGTTGCGAGATAATTCCATGAATTCTTCACCGTGGCCACAATCTATGAAATTAATGCAATTGGTAATATTAGAATTATGGCAAGCATCACGGAAGCACTGATTAACCCTCTGCACACAAAAAAAAAATCAAAATAATAATGTTACGATATTTATCAAACAAACAAGAGATGCCTCTGATATATATGTTTTTAGGTAATTACCTGTAATCCAAAGAGGTACCAACATGCTCCCATTACATGGCCAGACAATACAAAAGTGAGAAAGTTGATAACCAAGTTTGCCCATGCCGTCTGAAATGTGAAGCCACTCTCCGCCCGACCAATCACAAGTGGTAAGAACCTCCACAACCTGGGAACATATTGCACAACAACGGCTGTCCTTAGAAGGTTTTTAGCGTAATTGGCTCCCGATGATCCCAACTCGCCTGGCAGAACCAGTAATACGATGATCTGCGCGCATAATATTTATTGAACGAACATCATTCCCATGTAATTATTAATTAAGCATTAATTGCATTGAACCCCTAGCTACGTACAAAGTCAACTTACTTGGGGAAGAGGCGGTGCATTTAACAAGTCGATCAAAAACCATCCACGCATGTAATTCTTTGCAATCTTCTTGGGATGTTTTACCAACTCTCCAGCGCCGAGCTCGGTAGATTCAGGATCTAAATAAGCCAACCTAAACTGTTTCCAATTGAATCAAGTCAAACTAATTAGTTAACAACGGTTGACCTACATGCAAGTAAGTTGCTAAAGGGCAATCTCTTTAATTGTACCCGGAGAAGTATGTTCAACAAGTATACAAAATCAGTCAGGCTCCTTAAGACCACAATCGTCGTCGTCAATGGGTAGTTGATGTAAGTGCATTTCTTATCCTGTATCCATAACAAGGAATCAGAGGCATTTCTAAGAGACAAGTGGAATAAAAAAAAATAGCGGTAATACCACTAGTTTTGAATTTGGAGGTTTCATATTCGAATAACTTAAATATTACCTTATCACAAAAAATAACCTATATCACATTTATAAAAAAAAAGGCGAGTGTCTCTAAAAATTTATTCTCTCTCTCTTGTTTCGTGCTCTGAAGGAAACCCTATTTCCCGATGGTTGCCTCGTCGTCGGCTACATCGCCGGCTGGTGAGGGTTCTTCTTCTTGAGCTCAATGGTTCTCTGTGGCTCCTGAGAAGCGACTTGCATATCGTCCTCCAAAGAGAGTAAATGATGGGTTTCAAATTCCACAGGCGATTAAGGAGAAGGGCGATGAGCGATGGAAGATGTCCTTGATGGGTCAGTTTGTCGTGAAGCGTCCAAAGGTTGCGGAGCTCCAGTCTTGGCCTAACCGCCTATGGGGAAGCGATGGTGTGGTACGTGTTTCACGATTTGGTCCCAAGCTGCTGGTATTTCAATTTTCATCGCTTTCTTCCTGTGATTGGGTTTTAAATCGGTGCCTTGGCATTTCGGGGGTAACCCAATTTTCTTTCGAAAGTGGGAAGTGGGTATTCAACCGATTGTGTCGAAGGTGGAGACATTGCCGATTTGGGTAAAATCTGGGGAGTGCATTTGGAATATTTGGGTCATAATGGAATTGAGTGGATTGCTAGTACAATAGGAAGACCTCTCTGGACTGATAAAAAAATTAGGGTTGGTGATCAGTTAGGGTTCTCTAAGGTCTGTATTGAGCTGGCAGCAAACTATGATTTCCCAACAAGGATTTGTTTGTATCCTGATAATAATCCCGATTTTAAAACTGGGATTGAATATTTGCAGCTTCCTCAGGGTTGTTCTAAGTGATGTCTGTTTGGACATAGTTGTCATCAAGAACCTCAGAGGCAGTGGAGAGGTAAAGAGAGTGTTGCTGAGGTGGAGATATTTGAGGGTGATGAGACTACTCAGACAAGTCTAATGAAGGAAAGAGGCGTCGACTCCTAACGAGGATGTTGTTCCTCCTAAGGGTGGCATTATTGGTTCTGAGAGTGGACATGATGTTTCTATGAAAGTTTCAGAATGACATAATGAGGGCTTACTCACTAATAAGGAAGTTGAATTTGTGGAGAGTGTTGTTGAGATGGTGGCTGATTCTACAAGTACTTTATTGTCGGGTGCAATTCTTATTCAGACTCTTGCTCCAATTGGGGGTCCTCCTCCGATTTTTGCACAGATAGTAAGGGGATCATCACCTCTGGGTGGGAGTCCTTCTACTAATGGGTAAACTGTTGAGAATGTTAAGTCACTAGTTTCTGGGAGCTTACAGTCTCAACTACCTCAAGGAGATATGGTTCACACTGTGAAGGGTAAGGAAAATGTGAAGCCTCCAAATAACGGTAAGAAAGTTTGGGTGGACTCTCCTTTGATTCCATATCAGCCTAAAATAGAAGGGAAAAGATGAAAATAATTACCTTGAATACTAGAAGATTCAAAGCAGATAGTAAATATAGAGCTTTACTAAAGAAAATAAACAAGTATAGTATAGATATAGTAACTATCCTTGAGCTTAGAATAAGAGCCTCTAAGACAGAAAAATTGGTTGAGAAGCAATTTCCCGACTAGGAGACTAAGATGAAGCACAATGCATTTGTTTTGCACTCATCAGTTCCAAAGTCTTTCAAGTTCTTCAAGTTCTGGCTTCATCATCTTAGATTTGATGAGCTACTGGAAGAGACTTGGAGAAGTAGTTTTCTGGTCATCTTCTAATCAAGGTTTGTCAAAAGTTTAAACACCTGAAGAATCTATTAATGAAGCTAAATATAGAGGAATTTTCGGATATAAGAAAGAGAGTTAAAGCAAAAGAGATTGAGGTTCATGTTGTCCAACAACAGGCTCTTTCTGCTCCATCTGCTGATAACTTTGAAATCAAAAAGAGATTGGGGCAGGAGCTAAAGGTTCTAATGGATTCTAAGGAATGTTTCTTTAAGCAAAAGTCACAGGAAAAATGGCTCAAAACAGGAGACATGAATTCTTCATTTTTTCCATTGCTCTGTTAGATTGAAGCAGAAAAGAAGTACTATAAGGGTCTAAAATGAGGTAGGGGAGCAAATTCAAGATGTTGAGGAGATGGCTCAAATTGCAGTTCGGTTTTATGAAAAATTGCTGGGAGTGGCAGACTTTGAGGTAGAAGATCAATCAGATGATTATTTTGATGCTTTGCTGAGAAGAATGAAGAGTAGAATGAAGGGCTCTGTGCACCATTCACTGCTGAGCAGAATAAGGAAGTGATATTTACAATGGATGGAGACAAAATTCCAGGGCCTGATGGGTTTCTGCAGCATTCTTTCAATATGCTTGGCCACTTATAGGACCTGAGGTAACATCAGCCCTTCATTTTTGTTTTGTATATGATAGAGTTCCTAGGCCTGTAAATGCTACATCTCTTATCCCTAAAGTGCCCAATCCATATCAGATGAAATTTTTTAGGCCAATCTCTTGTTGCAACATTCTCGACAAATGCAAATCTAAACTCATTGCTAACAGACTTACTGTACTCCTCCCTTTTCTGATTAGCAAGAACCCAACATCCTTTGTTAAGGGTAGGCTAATTGGGGAAAATACTCTCGCCAAAATGTCTCCCCTAGGTGCGCTTTAAAAATAGATTTGATGAAGTCATTTGACTCGGTTGATTGGAACTTTATTTTCCAAGTTCTTAAATGTATGAGGTTTCCAGAAAGATTTGTGAATTGGATCAAAATGTGTGTGGGAACCCTTATGCTTAGTGTCTGCTTCAATGGGGGGCTAGTTTGATATTTTCCAGCTAGGAAGGGGTTTCGACAAGGAGACCCCATATGCCCGTATCTTGTCACAATTGTAAAAAAGTGGGACATTGGAAGTACAACTGTCCCAAGAGAAGAGGGAAACAGAAGAAACAAGGTTCAGTTGCCGTGGCAGAAGTGGACAATAGTTCTGAAGACGATCTCGCCTTGGCTGTAGATGAGAAGCACATCGTGGTGATGTGTGGTTTCTAGATACTGCAACCTCATACCGTATGTCTCCGAACAAGGATTGCTTCGCAACCTACGAGCAGATAGATGGTGGTAACGCGGTCATGGCAAATAGAGCTGTCTGCAAGGTTGTTGGAATCAGTTTCATAAAGGCTCGGCCACATAATGGTTCGTTCTGTACCATGAATGATGTCAGGCATGTTCCATGAATGACAAAGAACCTGATCAGCTTGAGTCTACTCGACAGCAAGGGTTTCAGCTTCAAAGGAAAAGGTGGAGTTGTGTATGTCTGCAAAAGTTCAAGGAAGGTGCTGAAGGGCGTGAAGCGTGGGACCTTGTATGCATTAAAAAGGTCTGTGTTGTCTGGTTCTGCTATAGTTGCATCGTCTCAGGTTCATCAGGAAGATATGACCACTCTCTGGCACATGAGACTGGGGGCATATGAGTGAACGGGGGATGCAAGTTCTATCAAAGAGGGATCTTCTTTGCGGGCACAAGGTGCATAATTTGAAATTATGTGAGCATTGTGTGTTTGGGAAGCTACATCGCAGCAAGTTTCCCAAGAAGGGTATCCACTGAACCAAGGGGATACTGGATTATCTCCACTCCGACTGTTGAGGTCCTTCACGAGTTGAATCCATTGGAGACAGCAGGTATTTTCTGTCTATTATTGATGACTATTCGAGATTTACTTGGATTTTCATGATGAAGCAGAAAAGTGAGGCTTTCACGAAGTTCAAGCAGTGGAAGACATTGGTGGAGAATCAGACCGGGAAGAAGATCAAGAAGCTGCAAACGGACAATGGTCTGGAGTTCTGCAATTCTGAGTTCAACGAATTCTTCAAGGATGAAAAGATTGTCTGTCATTGGACCATTAGAGATACACCTCAGCAGAATGGCGTCGCAGAAAGGATGAACCAGACATTGATGGAGAGAGCACGGTGCATGCTCTCTAATGCTGGACTAGAGAGAAGATTCTGGGCAGAAGCACACATGGCGTGCTTCCTGATCAACCGTGGACCTCATACAGGTATCGAGTTTAAGACTCCTTATGAAGTGTGGTATGATAAGCATGTTGATTACTCTTCAATGAAAGGTTTTGGGTGCCTTGTTTATTATCATGTGGATGAGGGTAAAAGGAACCCAAGGGGAAAGAAGGGTGTATTTGTGGGTTATGGAGATGGAGTTAAGGGATTTCGACTCTGGTCACCTTCTGAGCATCGAGTTATACTCAGTAGAAATGTGATATTTGATGAGAAGTCTATGTTTAACCCCATGTTGAAGGTTACTGTTATTGAAGGTAGCATGAATGTTGATAAACAGGTGGAGCTGCAAACTTTCAATGGGAGTGAGTTTGAGCACCAAGGTGGAGAAGATCAACATGAGGATGTTTCTGCAGAGCCAGATACATTGTTGTCTAATGCACGAGCTCAACAATTTATGGCTTCCGGTAGACCGAAGAGAGCGACTGCAGGAGTACCTCCACAGAGGTATGGCTTCAAGGACATGGTGGCATATTCATTTCAGGTTGCTGAAGAAGTGGATGCAGGTGAACCACAATCCTATAGAGAAGCCGTTTCGGATGGCGAAGCTTATCAGTGGCTTGCCGCAATGGGAGATGAGATGGAATCCCACTACAAGAATCAGACTTGGGAGCTAGTCAAACGACCACGGGGAAGGAAGATTTTTACAAACAAGTGGATCTACAAGAAGAAGGAAGGAACCAGTTCTGAAGAGGGCATTAAATTTAAAGCTCGAGTGGTTGCACGAGGCTTCTCGCAGAGGGAAGGAGTTGACTACAATGAGATTTTCTCACAATTGGTCAAACATACTTCGATCAGGGTGCTACTAGAAATAGTGGCGCATTATGACTTGGAGCTCGAGCAGCTAGACATGAAGACAACTTTCCTACATGGAGAGTGGGAGGAAGAAATTTATATGACTCA